AAAATACCATATTTGTCAAAATGATCTTACATTTTCTGTGCTTGGTATAAGGATCAGAATCCAAGGAATTCACATATGACTAAAACAGAATGATATCAAATGATAAATTGGTGGGTGCTTTTTAATAATCACCTTACCCATCCAAATTAAACTTTAAGACCTACCGACCAAAGTTTTCATGAAAAGAAAGAATGACGTCATCAAAAAATAGAAGTGGTGCAGGTTTTGAACATTTACCACTTTGGTGAAACCCACGAGCATTGGTATGGTGCTGACAAACCTAGAAACATAATCAGGGCATACTGGAATTCGACCCCATGAGTATAGGGTTCTTGCCTGACCAAGGGACGCATGTCTGCACAGCGATGAACACCTTAAACGACTGGGTCTCCCCCAACCCCTCCTAGACAACTAAAGAGGTCAACATTATGGCTGTGGAAGTAATGTACATTTTGTAATCCAATTTTATTATTATTTTGAAATATTTAATTTGATAATCTTGTGCCTGGTTTGGATACTAAATTCTATTAAATGAATTCATTTTTATGTAAAAATTTGTCAAAGATATGATTTTTCTCATTTTTAAAAATATATCATATTGGGCAAAAAACATTGCAATTAATCATGTTAACCGATGCTTCGCACTGCAGTATGCGATCCACCTATACTTTATTATTAATTAATTGTACTTGCATGACACCATACAATAAAAGTGTGATGGACCCATAGACCCTGTGTGTTTGAAGACATCAGATATGCAACACTATTCAGTGTTAGCATGGAAGGGATGGGGTGGCAAACACAAAGTGAAAACATCAGTTGAGGGGCCTTTCTGTCACCTACAAGGATAATCAGTCACTCCAAGCCCATGTCAGGTGAGCTTCTGCCCTTCCCTGACTGCCACGCAACTAAGCTTAAGACACCTTCAGATCCTTCAACCCAGGTTTATATCACGTTGTCATTGAAGGATCTGACCTCGGAGTCGGGGCCTTCAACAACCACATAAGTGAGTGAGTTGGGTTAAATGCCGCTTTTAGCAGTATTCCAGTTATATCACGGCATGTCAGCTTAATGTGGGAGGAAACCCCGAAGTGATGCAGGTCTCAGACGTTTACCACTTCGTAGGAGTGAGTGAGTGAGTTGGTTTTAATGCCGCTTTTAACAGTATTCCAGTTATATCATGGCGTGTCAGCTTAATGTGGGAGGAAAGCCTGAAGTGATGAAGGTCTCAGACATTTACCACTTTGGTGAAACCCACGAGCACGGGTATGGTGCTGACAAACCTAGAAACATACTCGGGGCGAACCTGATTCAAACCCACAATCATAGGTTTCTGGCGTGCCCAAGCGACGCAACTCTGCACTGTGAATTGCGGCGCCTTATACGACTGGGCCACCTGTGCCCCCTGTTATGGCTCAGACGAAGCCTAGTGTTGTTTTCAGACGAAGTTCAAATTGTTATCATGGTTAGGGAAACAAACAAAGGCCTCAGTTAAACTGATGACAAATGCACATGGGAAATTTCATAGAACCAGACCTTCATTTAAGATTAAGTTGAAATTGCTTCCATAGAAAAAATATATATATAATTTAGAAAAATTTCAAAATAGCCAAAGGCACCAGTTTAGGTGAAGAGGAATGCACATGGCAAGTTTCCTTGAAAAACAGTGATTTATGATTTTGCAGGTTGCCATGTAATGCATCATAAGCACAAACGAATGGCGAGCTGAGTTGCCTCCTGATCTACTCATTTTAAAGTCATAGTTAAAACATGACTCCAAGAAATATAGAAACATTGGGATACCTTAACATGCTTACACAGCGTTATACTGAAACAATAGAGAAATACCGCCAAGCAGGTCTCACTTGAAAGTAGTACCTATCATAAGGTTACTAGTTACTATGAGTTAGAAAAATACAATAGGCAAAGTGGCAGTACGTTCATAAAACTTCTCCCTTACTTGGTGAGGCAAGGCGAGGCAACATCTTATCAGCTGTTTGGTCAACATTTTCACTCAACAAAGTAAAGTCTTACCAGTGATAGCTCAAAAACCTAAGTCACTAAACTAATTGATTGCCAACACTCATGGCATGAGGTTCTGTACTGTGGTCAGGATTGACCTCACTAATGCCCGCCACTATGATGTGTGTCTTCCGGCACCTATATACGGTACACTCAATGTTCAGGGCAGAACCCACAATCATAGGTTTCTGGCGTGCCCAACTCTGAACAGCTAATCGTGGCGGTTTAGACGACCACATGATATAAGCCTGGATTGACAATGACGCAAGGTTGCAAGTGGAGTCTACATTGGACTGATGGTATCATCAGCTGAAGAACAGGATCTGCAAGGCCCATATCCCAACATCTTCCTGTTTGTGACTAACCTAGAGAATATGGAATCAGTGAATGGGGCAATGCCTGACCAACTGGACCTCTGAGCTCTTCCACAAATCCGAAAACTTGTCTACCGAGGACTGGACAACAGGTTGACTGCAGGACCATAAAAGACAGCCATGCAGTTCCTAAATGCGGCTGGTCACTTAATCAAATTAAAAAATAACTTCCTATGATTTTCCTGTGTGTGGGGAAGACTGCCTTGACAATTTCAACTTGATGAATGTAAAAGTATTGCTGTCACCAAAACTTTTGTCGTAATTGTTTCGAAAGAGCAAAAGTGAGCATGGCTCACTAATACCCCTGACCCTCCTAGTGTGTCAGTAGTTTCAAATTAAATACATTGGGAAGACACCCTTATGACCATAAGCATCTTTCCGAGGCAAAAGAGTTAACTGACTACAAAAGTCCAGTTTCCACCCTTGCCGAACTAGGCTGGTATTATGGAGTTACATTTTGGCTGGACTAACGAGTCTATGCATAGTCCAATTAAAATCGCGCACTGAAATCGAAATCCAGTTCGTAAACTGTGATGCAGATTTTGGTCGATTGCTATATTTGCACAGCATGTGCACTGCCAACTCGTTGTCAGCAGATATTTTCCAAATCTTTTCATGTTTTTAATCAAGGTGCTCACGTGATTTTTTATTGCATTTCGCTATGTAAGAAATGTTTTATCACAATCGAGAGGTGGAATCTGATTAGTTCATAGGAGAGGCTTTAGAAGGGACATAACTGGCTACGATGGAGCCCAGGACTTTCAGCCTTGTTCGGCAAGGGTGGAAACTGGACTTTTAAAGTCAGTTAACTCGCTTGCCTCAGGAAGATGGAACATAAGCCATCTACCATCTATGATGACAATGGGCAGTTAGAGGTTAACTACCTTGTTTGCCTTGCAGAAGCAAACTTACACTGTCCCCTTCATACAGTCAAGTGAGTGAGTGAGTATGGTTTTATGCCGCTTTTAGCAATATTCCAGCAATATCACGGCAGGGTACACCAGAAATGGGCTTCACACATTGTACCCATGTCGGGAATCGAACCCGGGTCTTCGGTGTGACGAGCGAACGCTTCAACCACTAGGCTACCCGACCGCCCCCTGCCATCTATGATGACAATGGGCAGTGAGAGGTTAACTACCTTGTTTACCTTGCAGAAGCAAACTTACACTGTCCCCTTCATACAGTCAAGTAGTTTATACACTGACTACTGGTTGCATAAGAACAATGTTTGCTCGGCAAAATATAACAACACTGCCTATTGGCCATGGCCAATTAGTTTCCATACTACTGGAATTGTTTCTACACTGAATTCATACAAGGTAGTTAGAGAAACAGTGCCACCTGTAAATGTTACAAAATATAAGGTTAATTCCAGGTTCGACAAATCATAGAGTCTGGCAACAGTTTCAAAGAATCAGAAAGAACAGGATATTATCTCCAACCTTCCACATCAGCTATATAGCCTACAGCAGAGGCCAGTTTGGGAAAACACCGGTGATGCTAGCTGCAGAGAAGGATCAGAAAATGTAAAGAGGGTTCAAAGAAAAGTGTTGGATCTGCATGAGCAGAGATCACAAGGAGAATTCAGGCCTGGGAGCTGTTTGTTCCCAGATATTGAGCAAGATTGTTGATTGGGTGGCTATTAATTATCAAATAATAATATATTCATCAGCATCAAACATAAGGATGCTATTTGGCAGAAGTAGAGTTCATAGGACAATGTATGTTATTATTCAATGTCAGTCTGTTGGACAGACAATAAACGTGACAACCAAAGCTCACTTGACTTTTAGTCAGGTGAGCTAAACAGCAAACAAAGTTACAGGACTTCATGGTCCTTCTAGATTCAGGAGAGATGTACAAAATGAAGGACTGACAGATGACGCACAACACACAACAAAGGCTCACTTGACTTTTAGTAAGGTGAGCTAAACAGCAAACAAAGTTACAAGACTTCATCACGTTCATAGTCCTTGTAGATTCTGAAAAGATGTACAAAATGAAGGACCGACAAACGACGGACTACACACAACAAAGGCTCATTCGACCTTCAGTCAGGTGAGCTAAACAGCAAACAAAGTTGCAAGATTTTTTTGGCTATGTATATGCCGAGATGTAAAAAGATTACGGATCAACAGATGACGGAAAACATGCAACGACAAAAGCTCACTTGACTTCCAGTGTTTAGTCAGGTGAGCAAAATATGCAAATCTTAAGTTGCAAGATTTCATATCGTTCCAAAATTTGCTTCTACATGAAGTGGGCTCTTGTATTGGGAATTGGGTTGTGCTACCGCTAAACGAAGATCTAAGGACATCCCAGTAGAGGTCACGTCAAAACGACCAATCAGAGCGTTGCTCACCAGATCATGAAAGTGACAGTCGGAATGTGATTTCTAATCATGAAATCCTCGGAAACTTTAACACAGGGTGTTCCGAACGATACTACTAAATCCATACAATCTAGACCATCTATTAGCGTTTCCAGAATGTTCTTTTGTTCAGGTTTCAAATTTTTAATCGATAATTTGTCAAAATATGTTCCGAAGTGTTGTCGCCAATTTGAAAATAGTGCCGTAAAGCACGAGAAAGCTGCCTTCTGATTGGTCATTCCATTGGTTGGTCAAAGTTCGCGCAAGGTTGGTCTGACGTGACCCGTAATCGGATGTCCTCAGATCTTTGTTTAGCGGTAGCGAGAACTAAGATCTGATTTTAATGAGATTGGTTTTGACACTGCTGCATCCACATTTCCACGAGCTTTCCACATGTTCCATATATCAAAAACAAATGGTATGGTATCAAATAAGGAGTCACATGACCAGTCCCTTATGCATTGTCGGGAATTATATTTGAATCCAGTTTGGATGTGCAGAGGACATGTTTATTCATGCTTCTTGTTCTGTAACTGCCATCCCAGCTTCACCAATCTTGATTCCAATGTGAACCCTCTTCTGGTGGTTCTTCATGGTTCTTGCAGCTGCAAACCCTTTCCCACACTCATCACACTCATAAGGCTTGATTCCACTGTGACCCCTCATGTGATACTGTAGGTCAGCTAATCGTAGAAAGTCTTTCCCACATTCATCACACTTGAAAGGTTTGATTCCACTGTGAATCTTCATGTGAGACCGCAGGGTACTTGATCGTGCAAACTCTCTCCCACATTCAGCACACTTGAAAGGCTTGATTCCACTGTGAACCCTCATGTGTGTATTCAGAGTACCTCTCAGTGTAAATGTTTTCCCACATTCCTCACACTGATATGGCTTGACTCCGCTGTGACGAACCATGTGCCTTGTGATGGCACTAAAATGAGTAAATGCTTTACCGCACTCACTACACTTATAAGGCTCGAGTCCACTGTGAATCTTTGAATGGGCCTTCAGGTTACTTGGTCTTGTAAATGCTTTCCCACACTCACCACACTGATAGGGATTGACTCCAGTGTGAGATATCATGTGATTATGAAGGTCGCTTCTTTTTGTAAATGTTTTCCCACACTCACCACACTGATAGGGATTGACTCCAGTGTGAGATATCATGTGATTTTGAAGGTCGCTTCTTTTTGTAAATATTTTCCCACACTCACCACACTGATAGGGATCGACTCCAGTGTGAGATGTCATGTGATTTTGAAGGTCGCTTCTTTTTGTAAATGCTTTCCCACACTCACCACACTGATAGGGATCGACTCCAGTGTGAGATATCATGTGATTTTGAAGGTCGCTTCTTTTTGTAAATGTTTTCCCACACTCACCACACTGATAGGGATTGACTCCAGTGTGAGATATCATGTGATTTTGAAGGTCGCCTCTTTTTGTAAACGCTTTCCCACACTCACCACACTGATAGGGATTGACTCCAGTGTGAGATATCATGTGATTTTGAAGGTCGCCTCTTTTTGTAAACGCTTTCCCACACTCACCACACTGATAGGGATTGACTCCAGTGTGAGATATCATGTGATTTTGAAGGTCGCCTCTTTTTGTAAACGCTTTCCCACACTTGCTACAAGCATGAGGCTTAATTACCCTGTGATGCCTCAAGTGGAGCAGAAGGCTGTTGGATCGTGGGAATGTTTTCCCACATTCACTACACAGATGGGACTTGACTGCATGGTGGCATGACTTGTGTCTTAGCAAATCACAGAATCGTGTAAAAGTATTCCTACACTCACTACACTTATATGATTTCTTTCTAGTGTGACACTTCCTGTGTTTCTGCAAGTACACTTGATGTGAGAATGCTTTTCCACATTCACCACATCTAAGAGACTTGATGCTACTGTGACTTATCATGTGTATCTGCAAGTGACCTGATCTGGCAAACACTTTCCCACATTCCCCACACTGATAAGGTTTCTCCTTTACATCACTGTGACCACTCTCATGTGTTTTCATGTGTCTCTTCAGATGGCCATTTGTTGTGAATTCTTTCCCACACTCACTACACGGATAAGGTCTGACTCCTGTGTGACGTTTCATATGAGCTTGTAGTTGACATAATAACAGAAATGATTTACCATTTGCACACACAGTGCAATGAAATGGCTTGACACCACTGTGACATTTCATGTGTCTGCGCAGGTAACTCGTTCGTGAAAATTCTTTCCCACACTCACTACATTTGTGAAGCGAGACGCCATTGTGACACTCCATGTGTTTCCTCAGCTGAACTGACGTCTTATACATTTTCCCACACTTGCTACACTCAAACTGTTTTGCTGGACTTGCACTATGGTTGTGTTCCTTGCAGTCATCTGTTTCCAGCAATGCCTTGTCACAGCGAGTGTTTCCATCTGTGTCAGTGGCAGAGTGGTTGTGGAGATTCGACGCTTCTAGCAATGCTCTCTCACAGTAAATGATTACATATGTTTCAGGAACAGAGCCAGGATTCTGAGGCTGGCTTTGTACTTCCATTATCAAGGTTTATGTTATTGTGTTCACTGAAAATATAAAAAAGTTGTCATTTATCTTTATCGTGTTTATCATATTTATCAATATCATGTTCCTGCATCTTCGTCATGACGTTACCAAAAAACCTTCACACTCAAACTAATAACAAAGATGGTGACAAATGCACAATGTCAGACAAAGTCATGTTGGTTGTTTAACGCCGCACTCAGCAAATATTCCAGTTATATGACAGCGGTCTGTAAATAATAGAGTCTGGAACAGACAATCCAGTGATTAATATCATGAGCGACGATCCACGCAATTGGGATTGATGACTTTACAAAGTCAAGAAAGAAATATGTTTTATGATATGAAAGAATGACACAAACTGATTAAAATGTACAAAAAAACATTACTGGTCCAAAGTAATCGTTTTGGGATACAAATATAAAACACATTATGATACCCCTGTTTAACCGCATTTGTTGCCAAGAATCACTTCCGGGTTCCGGGACCTCGAAATTGTTTCAGTGTCCCATCATGAACTTTTATTACTTTTACCGTCAAGGCAATGACACAGGAACTCGATGATAGCGTATATTCCATAATATAATCGTATAGAGAAAACAATCACACCCCTCTACACACATATTCGCCTAGACTATGTTTATAGAGGGGTGTGATTTTTTTCTTTACGAATATATTATGTTATACACGCTATCATCGAGTTCCTGTGGGCAATGACTGGCACCCGCGACACTGGGGGGATTTCGTACTATAGCATATTTATATTTCGAAGACGTTTGCTGTAATTTGTATTCTCTTTCATATACTTACATCAAAGTGGGTGAGCGACCACACTCCGCCGCTGTGGACTTTGCATAACTTCGCATGGCACTCTGGGTAGGAGAGTGCGCTGTGACGAGCTTGCTAAGCTGGTTCCTGGCTCACAACTGTTATTCATAATCCCTTTGCGCGTCGATAATATTGTGATATGGATGAGAGACGCGGCCCAGTTTACGAATTTGCTACCTTCGCCCTCATTTGCCTTTACCAGTGATCATGCCCTGGCAAAAGACCTAAAACTCCTGACTTCGCGTGCTACATTACACAATTTTTGGGAATGAAATCGATGTGAGAAGCATACTAATAGACTGGGTTCTTGTCTATATAAAAATGAGTAGGCTAAAAAGCGCTGAGCCTGTAGTGCGAACCAACAGTGGAACCAGTTTACGTAGCTAATTAAATGGGTAACACAAAAACGGAACCCGTCGCAAACGGTTTTAGAACAATTGAGTAAAACAGCCACAAGGTTAGCAAATAGTGAAACTAAAATTAGGTTTGGGATGATGAATAAACGTTATGGACATGACAAGCAGATATTGCACAACTAGTATTTATTTATTAGGCTTTGTCATTTCAGGTTTGTTCTGTTCTAAAAGTGAAGATTGAGGCCATCGTTATCTGTGGGCATTTGTTTACAGTACCATTTAGATCCTGTTTGGAACCCGATATATACTACTCCAAAGAGTGAGTGAGTGAGTGAGTATGGTTTTACGCCGCTTTTAGCAATATTCCAGCAATATCACGGCGGGGGACACCAGAAATGGGCTTCACACATTTTACCCATGTCGGGAATCGAACCCGGGTCTTCGGCGTGGCGAGCGAACGCTTTAACCACTAGGCTACCCGACCGCCCCTCTAGCACTATAAAACGCCATCAGTGCGGACTAGTAACAAAATAAGCAGCCAAACACACGTGCACGCACGTCGCTATATAAGTGCACGCCATGTTAAACCCAATATCACCTCACCTCTTTCAAATAAGCAATACTTCAGCTCCATCCCAGCTAGCCACACTATTTTAAAAACATAAACATCAACTTGTGGATGGTCGAAGCAGGAACTGCTTTTTTTATCACTGTTAAAGTAATTAAAATATCTTTAACGATTCTACAAATTGGGAATAGCATATCACTGTGGGCCAACATAACAATAACTGCTATTCATTCTGTGACTGACCGCCTCCGTGGTCTAATGGTAGAGCGTCCGCCCGGAGAGCGGAAGGTCTGGGGTTCGATACCCAGCCGCGTCATACCAAAAGACGTTAAAAGGTGGTACTTGTTGTTACCCTGTCTGGCGCTCGGCATTAAGGGGCTAAAACAAGGACTGGTCGGCTAGGAGTCAGTTTACTGTGTCTGAGTGGGGTATTCATGTTAAACTGCGACATGGTATCTCAGTGGGCTAGCACTATAAATCGGCATCAGTCCGGACTAGTACAAGCACACACATACACGTGCATGCACTTCGCTATATAAGTGCAATAATCTTGGACGCGATGTTAAAGCCCATTTCACCTCACCTCGCCATTCTGTGACTATTTATGACATGAGGGCTATTAATTTCTGACAAAACCGCAAATAGTCAGATATGCAATACATAAGTGCCTTGCTTAAATAGCAAGCTTTGTCAATAAATCACCATAATTTTACATTTCTGTACACGCTAATTCATTGTATTCGAAGTCGATGTTGTACCTATTCATGTATAGAAATGTATGAATGATCCGAGACGAGACTATGGTGTCACTAAAAAGTGCTTACGGAATTCTGATCTGATCAGGGGAGCGGATGGTCAAGGGTTTAATCCCCCTCCGCGTCATACCAAAAGACGTTTAAAGATGGTACTTGTTGTCACCCTGCCTAGCGCTCGGCATTAACGGGCTAAAACAAGGACTGATCAGCTCGGAGTCAGTATACTGTGTCTGAGTGGGGTATTCAAGTTTAACTGATGCGCGTGCGTGTATGATAGTCGCTATATAAGTGCAAAAAGTCTTGAACGCGACCCCCAAACCTATGCTATTTCACCTCACCTCTGATCTTGACCTTAACATACCCGTAGTGTTACCATGGTTACAATGAACTTGTAACATTTTCTACTTCTTTTTCTCTGCTTGATGGATTCGGTTGAAATTGGAGTTTCAATATGGCCGCCGAGTAGCCATCTTCATTTATTTAAAAAATCCCCACAAAAGTAAAGGGTCAGTGGCCTGGAACTTGGAGAAGGACATGGTCACCATATGTAGTTCCATGTTTATGGACAGCGGCCATATTAGAAAATACAAAAATTCACACACCATCCATCTTCTCGAAAACCACTGGACCAATGAAGTTGAAGCTCAACTCGACGTAATAAGCGCCCACTGCGATATTTGCTAATACATTGGCAAGTGAACAATCCCAATTAGCACCCCTTCCGATTGATCAATGTACACAAGACTTATTTATTCGTGTATAATACGCATGCATGTGTTATATACACCCTTAGTTATGGGCAATTAAATTCAGGAAAAATATATCTGTCGTATATATATAAACAGTTTAAATTGTAGTTTCAATATGGCCACCATATGTTCTTTTTTAAAAATTTTAAAATCCCCACAAAAGTAAAGGGTCAGTGGCCTGGAACTTGGAGAAAGACATGGTCACCACATGTAGTTCCATATTTATGGACAGCATCCATATAAGAAAATACAAAAAAATCATACACCATCCTCTTCTCGAAAACCACTGGACCAATGAAGTTGAAGCTCAACTGGCTTCATCTAATGATGACGCCCCAATTTTTTCAAGAGATTAAATCGTACTTTCAACGTCAGTCACACTGAAAAATCTATTTATGGCTATAAGTTAGCCATTTGTGTTTGTAACGAAATTTGTAACGTATGTGCTTCGTAGTGGGGTTCAACAAAGGAGGTCTGGAGTGGTTGCTTCAGCGAGTATGTTTCTGTTTATGATGACATATTTCATTCAAAGCACTTGTGTTTTGGGGTTAGTTTTGGTGTTAGTGTTAGTCCTAAGTAGTTGTGCAGTAAATGAATGCACAGCAATGCTGACAGTAATTGTCGTTTAGTGATTGTTTTTGTTGATCTGTTTCAAATGTTGTCTATTATACATAGTGCCACGGTACTATTATCAGTGTTCACTACGTCTTAGTGAGTGAGTATGGTTTTACGCCGCTTTTAGCAATATTCCAGCAATATCACGGCGGGGTACACCAGAAATGGGCTTCATACATTGTACCCATGTCGGGAATCGAACCCGGGTCTTCGGCGTGGCGTGCGAACGCTTTAACCACTAGGCTACCCGACCGCCCCTTCTACGTCTTATTTTCGAAACAATGAAAATCAGTTCAAATATTCAAAACAAGAAACGGACCTTTTTTCATGCATCTTCATTGCTAATAAATTAATAATATATACGCCTGGAAATTAATTAGGCTCTATCTGTTTTAGGGTTTGGGAACACAGGAACTCGTTCTCTGCTTACATATAGGGGGTATACATTTTTATTTACTGACCAATAACGAGTTCCTGTGTTTGGGAACCATAATACCAGGCATCTGGAAAGTTGTATCATCGGGTATAAATGACAATTTCTGTCAGAAAACATCTAATGTAATGGCATAAACGTAATCTAAATCCTTAAATTCAGTAGGGACTGTATCAGCCTCTACCTTTCTTCACATTCCTCTACTGAGTCTGCTGATGCAGGTTTGTATGAACTGTGCGTTCCTCCATCGTAGAGTACCCCAACCCATGGGTATAGGCGATACCCACAACTGTCCCCAGAACACTCACCTCAAGACGCCTCTGGGGTCCAGTGGACAGAGTGGGAGGAAAGCCCAAAGTGATGCAGGTATTAGACAGTCACCACATGGTGCTGACTAACCTGGAGACATAATTGGGGTGAACCGGGATTCTGACATGCAGTCATAGGTTTTTGGCATACCCACAGGCGGCAACTCTGCAGAGCAAATTGTAGCGTCCGTCTATGTATGAAAAGTAATGCCACGGTGAAATACAAGTCAATATACCGTATTAGACGTAAGAAGCGCATCGCTCTAATAAGCGCCCATGGCGATATTTGCTTATATATTGGCTAGTGAACAAAGTCTTGAACGCGACCCCCAAACCTATGCTATTTCACCTCACCTCTGATCTTGACCTTAACATACCCGTAGTGTTACCATGGTTACAATGAACTTGTAACATTTTCTACTTCTTTTTCTCTGCTTGATGGATTCGGTTGAAATTGGAGTTTCAATATGGCCGCCGAGTAGCCATCTTCATTTATTTAAAAAATCCCCACAAAAGTAAAGGGTCAGTGGCCTGGAACTTGGAGAAGGACATGGTCACCATATGTAGTTCCATGTTTATGGACAGCGGCCATATTAGAAAATACAAAAATTCACACACCATCCATCTTCTCGAAAACCACTGGACCAATGAAGTTGAAGCTCAACTCGACGTAATAAGCGCCCACTGCGATATTTGCTAATACATTGGCAAGTGAACAATCCCAATTAGCACCCCTTCTGATTGATCAATGTACACAAGACTTATTAATTCGTGTATAATACTCACTCGTTTGTTATATGGACCCTTAATTACGAGCAATTAAATTCTGGAAAAATATACCTGTCGTGTATAATACGCAGACTTTTCTTTTGTATCATTTCAGGCTGTCATCATAAACTACGAAATTTACGATCTTTCAACTCATTCACCAAAGTTATATTCTAAAAAGAGTTCCCTATTTCTAATTTTGAGAGCGCCCTGTGCGCTTATTACGTCGAATACGGTACATGATATAGAGACAATCTCATTTATCAGATATTCTACTCCCATACGATACCTCTCTGCATTAATCTGATGATACCTCCAGATATGGTTGCATCACATCTGGTGAACACTTAATGAGTTTCCACTGCCCAATCTAACTGAATGATGTGCCAGCTTTCATCCAGTGAGGTCAGCTTTCTAAAACGATTCCGCCTCATACATTTTTTCACCACCTCGATTCGGAAAGTTAGATCTGAGCAGTAGAAAATCCAACACAGAAAACAAATACACCCTGGAAATCTGAGACAATTAACAGAATGGATAAAATATCCACAAATACATCATAGCACCGGTTTACCGTATTCGACGTAATAAGCGCCCCGTGCTGTTCAAACAGAGGAGAGGAGAGGAGATTTACTAGAGAGTCGTTTCGTAAAAAATAATACAGTTGGATGTTTAAACACAGGAGAAGAGATGATCAGTTTCTTAATTGAACAAACAATTAGTTTCTTAGTTGATATGGGTTATAATACCGATGAGTTTAGAGGAGAGTCGTTTCTTAAGAGTGAGTGAGTGAGTATGGTTTTACGCCGCTTTTAGCAATATTCCAGCAATATCACGGCGGGGGACACCAGAAATGGGCTTCACACATTGTACCCATGTCGGGAATCGAACCCGGGTCTTCGGCGTGACGAGCGAACGCTTTAACCACTAGGCTACCCGACCGCCCCCGTTTCTTAAGAATACATACAGTATGTATTTGATGGTATATATAAAGAGTGCAACTTATTTATCTATGGTCAAAATGGCTAACGCACAAGTTCGAGTGACCATGGTTGATACCGTGCGAGGTGGTCAGCACTTGTTTTATGAGGGATTCAAGTTTCGTTGTAAGAAAACGGTCCGTGAGAAGAAGTATTGGAACTGCGTTGTTGCTGCCTGCAGAGCGTCGGTGATCACTGAAAACGGCATTCTTCAAGCAGCTTTGCAGGTAAGAAAATAATGCACATGATCATGATGATAATAATCTTAAAGACATAGACTCAAAAGATTTTGCTTAACAAACTTTTCAGTTATTTATTTTACTTATTATTATTATTACTTATTTTTAGATACCACAGGTATTTGCCACATGTATGTATTTGTTTATAGTTAATATTAGTTAAAATGCAATTATTTAATTGCAGGTGAACGATACCCACCAACCTATCCCATATGAGATGGAAGTGGAATCTTTCAAGTCCAAGCTCATCCACCGTGCTAAGACGGAAACAACGCCGATTCCAACCATAAAAAGGAGATGAGATTTCCAGACTTCGCCGTCACCACGACGTAATTCCAGACGACCTTGGACAAGGTCGACGACGTCTGGCTCCAAGCCATCGCTGACAGACCCGCGGGTCCCAAGGTCGCAGCCTTCATCGACTACGTCACGACAACGTGGTAGGAGTTATTGAATTTGTTAAATGTAAAGTACTTTTGTGCAACTATACTATACTTCAGCATCTAATAAATTACCACTGTGATTACGGTATACGCATTTCTGTGTTTTTCTTGTATGTTGAGAGTCCCGGTATAGCAATATCCCGTGTTTACTGTAGCGCGACCAGTCTTACTGTAGCTTCACGAAAGCGAAGAGATTTTAGAGTTGATTATGGCTAGGTTTCGCTCTTCCGGCCCAGAACCCCCGCTCTAATAAGCGCCCCCCCCCCCCCCCCCCCCCGCGATATTTGCTGATATATTGGCAAGTGAACAATCCCAATTAGCACCCCTTCCGATTGATCAATGTACACCAGACTTATTTATTCGTGTATAATACGCATGCGTGTGTTATATACGCCCTTAATTATAGGCAATTAAATTCAGAAAAAATATATCTGTCGTATATATATAAACAGTTCAGGCCGCCAGCATAAACCACAAAATTTATCTTTCAACTGTTTCTCTGACGTTTACCACTTCGGTGAAACCCACGAACACGGGTATGGTGCTGACAAACCTAGAAACGGGATTCGAACCCACAATCATAGGTTTCTGGCTCGCCAAAGGGACGCAACTCTGCACAGCGAATCGCGGCGCCTTAGACGACTGGGCCACCCGTGCCCCCCCCCCCCGTGTTTGTATGTAGTAGTAGGAATGCACTTTAGGAATGTAGCTATATATTACCCTGCTAAAATCAAGAGACATAACACCACTGAGGTAAGGTAAATTTATTTGGATGTACAACAGAACCATCACTTTAAGTGATGCACACTGACTTCCTAGACAGAGTTCTGAAGAACCCCTTTCTACCAAGATAGAGTTAACAGGTTCTGGTTGTCCCATTACAGACTGTGACTACTTCAGTGCCCTTTTGCTATTTCTAAAACAAATATCATGCCAAATGATGCAATGTACAGACATAAATACTACTGGTACAAGACGTTCTTGAAAATTATTATGCTGTTGCATTTAGTGGGATGCACAAATCTTTCAACATCAATGTTCCTCAACATCCCCTAGCATCTGGCAAGATCATTATTTTATTAGAGACAACATGTCCAGTTGCATTACAATATTATTCTTCGTCACACACTAGGTGTTCTTTCAGGTGATCTATTTTCAAAAATGACTTCCGACAAATAGGTACTCAGTCCTGCACTATTTGCACCTACAAATGGGTGGCTGTTGATAATGTTTTCTGTACTTTTCACGCTCACTACACTGATGAGGCTTCACTTCGCTGTCACTGCGTGTCTCCACAGATGACTGGCTGTAGCACATGCCTTTCGCTACTACACTGATGAGGCTTCACTCCAGTGTCACTGCGTGTCTCCACAGATGACTGGCTGTAGCACATGCCTTTCACTACTACACTGATGAGGCTTCACTCCAGTGTCACTGCGTGTCTCCACAGATGACTGGTTGTAGCACATGCCTTTCACTACTACACTGATGAGGCTTCACTCCAGTGTCACTGCATGTCTCCACAGATGACTGGTTGTAGCACATGCCTTTCACTACTACACTGATGAGGCTTCACTCCAGTGTCACTGCGTGTCTCCACAGATGACTGGTTGTAGCACATGCCTTTCACTACTACACTGATGAGGCTTCACTCCAGTGTCACTGCGTGTCTCCACAGATGACTGGCTGTAGCACATGCCTTTCGCTACTACACTGATGAGGCTTCACTCCAGTGTCACTGCGTGTCTCCACACATGACTGGCTGTAGCACATGCCTTTCACTACTACACTGATGAGGCTTCACTAAGCTGTCACCAATCATGTCTCTGCAATTGACTGACCGTTGAAAATGTATTTTCACATTCACTACACTGAAGAGGCTTCACTCAACAATGCTGTGGTGACTTCACTGTGACTCCTCATGTGTCGCTGCATGTTTCTGGATGTTGTAAATGCTTTCCTACACACTTCACACTCAAAGGGCTTCACTCCAGTGTGACTCCTCATGTGAGACCGCAGGGTACCTGACTGTGCAAACTCTCTCCCACATTCAGCACACTTGAAAGGCTTGATTCCACTGTGATTCCTCATGTGTGTCTTCAGATTACCTCTCAGTGTAAATGATTTCCCACATTCCTCACACTGATATGGCTTGACTCCGCTGTGACAAATCATGTGCCGTGTCATATCACCCAATTGAGTAAATGTCTTCCCGCACTCATGACACTTATAAGGCTTGAGTCCACTGTGGATCCTCAAATGAGCCTGCAGATGACTCGATCTTGTAAATGATTTCTCACACTCATTGCACTGAAAGGATTGGACTCCACTGTGAGATCTCATATGTATTTTCAGGTTAGATGATGTTGTAAATGTTTTCTCGCACTCACTACACTGATGAGATATCAACCCAGTGTGACCAAGCATATGTGTCTGCAGGTAAATTGAGCGTGTAAATGTTTTCCCACACTCGCCACACTGGAAAGGCTTCAATCCACTGTGGCAAAGCATGTGCCTTTTCATGTCACCCAATTGAGTAAACGTTCTCCCACATTCCCGACACATATACGGCTTGATGCCACTGTGAATTCTCAGATGGGCCTGCAGGTGGCTTGAGCGTGTAAATGTTTTCTCACACTCTTTGCACTGATAAGGTTTGATTCCACTGTGACTTCTCATGTGTGACTGCAGGTTGCATGATTGTGTAAATTCTTTCCCACATTCAACACACCGATATGGCTTGATTCCACTGTGAATCCTCAAATGAGCGTGCAGTCCACCTGACTGGGTGAATGTTTTCCCACACTCACCACACTGATAAGGCTTCACTCCACTGTGACAAAGCATGTGTCTTTTCAAGTCTCCTGATTGAATAAATGTTTTCCCGCACTCATCACACTTATGTGACTGCCTTGCATGTCCCCGACAATCTTTGTCAGTAACAGAGTCTTCCATGAGATCATCACTGTCCAGCAATGGTGTGTCGTAGTCAGTGTTTATTCCTATGTCTGTAACAGGGTGTTTCTTGAGATCACCTGTTTCCAGCAATGCGGTCGCATAGTCAGTGTTTATTCCTGTCTCAGTAACAGAGCGTTTCATGAGATCATCACTGTCCAGCAATGGTGTGTCATAGTCAGTGTTTATTCCTATGTCTGTAACAGACTGTTTCTTGAGATCACCTGTTTCCAGAAATGGTGTGTCATAGTCAGCGTTTATTCCCGTGTCAGACACAAAGTGTTTCTTGAGATCACCTGTTTCCAGCATGTCAGAGTCAGGTTCTTTCTTAATATCACCTGTGTCCAGCAATGGTCTCTCCCAGTCCCTGGTTACATTTGTTTCAGTAACAGGCCCAGGATTCTGTGTATGTCCTTGTACTTCCATTATCAATGTGGATGTTGTGGTGTTCTCTGAAAACATAAAAGAGTTCCTTTATCATGTTTCTGCATTATCAAGAGCTGTTTCCTACGGAAGCCTTTTAGGGCCATTTGTTTTTTTAATTTTTTCGATAGTATCTTGAAATTTCAACTTAATATCTTGAAATTTCAACTTAGTATCTTGAAATTTCAAGATAGTATTGAAAAAAACAAAAAAACAAATGGCCCTAAAAGGCTTCAGTAGTTTCCACACGAACACCACCAAAAGTTGAGCTGGGATGATACATCAGCGCATCAAGATGTTTTACCTCCCAACACAAGTATCAATCAAAGTCACACACAAAGTAAATAACATTGTAAGGTTTATGTTTAAAGTTCATATTTATAGGCTTCTTGTATGAGCGCACGAGAAGAGCGTACCAAGAAAGATAACTCTAGTATTTTGTTATGTGGCTGAGTGAGAGGCACGCTCGTGTCTGTTGTTTGTCGAAATGCGGAGCGTATAAAACGGTATCTAAACTTTATTTGTGTAAACAATTTAGTGAACATTGTTGTTATTATGATATCTAACGTTTAGAATTGTATTTTTGGTAAAATGTAATGTTTTTGAAAGATTATTTATTGAAAAGCAAATTTGTGTTGTTAGAATGATTTTTGCATTAATTGACTGCTATATACATTGTTTTATTTAATTTTTCAGTCAATCCTAGCCTTCTGAATATATCTCGACCATATCATGGAATAAATTGACGGTTGGATTGGAATTGTCATTCGCTCTTATTTACAAACATTGATTATTACTTAAATGTTCCTTTAATAACTGTTGCACCAAACACATGCTAATTACGAGTGAAAACATATTTTCATCCATTGTGCCTCAATTGACACTGACATATACACCACGACTGTATATCTTATCAACGTACTTAGCACAGAGGTACCTCCTTTCTAGTGCTTCAGCTTAGCAAAAATTTGTTTGGCTTAGTGGCTAGACAGTATCCAAACCCGACATGGTTTAGTTTGTCAGCTTGCAGTATTGAGGACAACAGCAAGATTGTCCTGCATAAAAGCACTGCCAACTGTAAACTGGCAGTTTGTTGTTTAACGCCACACTCAGCAAGTAAAGTGTCAGTGAGGCAGATATTTCGCCATCCTATCTATGAAAAAGATGGTGTATGAACTACAGGAAAATGAGTGAGTGAGTTTGGTTTGACGCCGCTTTTAACAGTATTGCAGTTATATCACGGCATGTCAGCTTAATGTGGGAGGAAAGCCACTTCAGTGAAACCCACATACACCAGTATGGTGCTGACATACCTGGAAACATAATCGGGGCGAACCGGGATTTGAACCCACAATCATAGATTTCTGGTGTGCCCAAGGGACGCAACTCTGCACAGCGAATCGCGGCGCCTTACACGACTGGGCCACCCGTGCCCCCTCACCACAGAAAAGACAAAGATAGTTTGTCAGTCATATTGGGACATAATGGAAACATATACTGGATTGAGAGTAAAATACTAAATACTTTGAGTTAGCAGAGGTTCAACACAACCGAAAAGGATGAATAAAGAAGGAATACACTGGGACCATGCTGTTACTTCGAAACAACACATTGAGAACAATAATTCTCACAGTTCAATGAAACAACACTAGAAGCCATGTCACCTGTTAAATCCACACAATAACAAAAATAATTGGTTCTTTTGACATGTACTAGAGCTGGGGCTTCCTTATACCCCAGAATCAACACAGGTTCATTTCACAAATCATAAAATAGGGCCAAAAGTCTATGTGAGATGGACCGCAACCGTGGTCTAGTGGTAGAGCGTCCGCCCGGAGAGCGGAAGGTTCGGGGTTTGATCCCCGACCGCGTCATACCAAAAGACGTTGAAAGATGGTACTTGTTGTTACCCTGTCTGGCGCTCGGCATTAAGGGGCTAAAACAAGGACTGGTCGGCTCGGAGTCAGTATACTGTGTCTGAGTGGGGTATTCATGTTCAACTGCGGCATGGTATCTCAGTGAGCTAGCACTATAAATCGGCATCAGTCCGGTCTAGTACAAGCAGCCACACAAACACACACATGTACATGCACGTCGCTATATAAGTGCAATAATCTTGGATGCGACATTAAACCATTAAACCCTATTTCACTTCACCTCACCTCACCTATGGGAGATGATTCAATTTTCTGTTTGGTAATGATTCGAACCCCCAATCATAGCACCAGCAGGCCTACAAAGTGATTTAAGGCGCCTTAGACAGCAGCGCCACCCGTTCCCTCTCATGGTAAGAAATAGAAACAACTTTAATGGATCTGTGTTGTTTGTCATGCAATCCTTGTGTGCTGAAGATGTCCGGAGGTTGTTCAACAGTGGAGGGCACGGGTGGCCAGAAACCTATGATTGTGGGTTTGAATCCCAGTTCACCCCGATTATGTTTCTAGGTTTGTCAGCACCATACCCATGCTCGAGGGTTTCACCGAAATAGTAAACGTCTGAGACCTGCATCACTTCGGGCTTTCCTCCCACATTAAGCTGATGAGCCGTGATATAACTGGAATACTGTAAAACGCGGAGTTAAACCCAACTCACTCGCTCACTGTGCGAGATGATTCAATTTTCTGTTTAATAATGATTGGTATTTCCTGACAGCAGAGATACAAAGTATTGTTGCCTGCTCAGATTCAGCCAATTTGCACAATATCTAACCTTGGGATTTCAGGCACTCAAAACTTGGAGGTAAATTTCTGCTATTGATTGATGATAACTATGGACATCAGCCAACCAGCATGATCAGGAAACACCGTTTACAGCTGCTGCTTTTCAAACATGTCTGTTGTAGTTGAAATAGGTTAAATAGGTCAACAGTCTTTGTGGTGAGTGAGTGAGTGAGATTATGCTGCAGGCAGCCATTTTCCAGCAACATCAAAGCAGTGTGAGTGAGTGAGTGAGTGAGTGAAAGAGAGAGAGTATGGTTTTTCACCACTTTTAGCAACATTCCAGCAATATTACGGCATGGGACACCAGAAATGGGCTTCACACATTGTACCCATGTCGGGAATCAAACCCGGATCTTTGGCGTGATGAGCAAACGCTTTAACCACTAGGCTACCCTATGCCCCTAACGCCCCGTGTATACTCCTCATCAGCAAAATCACACATTGTGACCACACAATTAATCATTATATATATATTTGAGGTGATATAAATTCACCCGCCTTAAACTGAAGTTGTGTAAGTAAAATACATATACTGAGGGAAACAAATAAGGGAACACATGAAAGTACATGTTCCTTTATTCTTTTCCAGGTTTATTCGCATGCTTTGAATTGCTCTGTGGGTGAAAATCTGGAAATAAACAAAGGAACAGTGTGATAAAGTGATGTTCCCTTATTTGTTTCCCTCAGTATATACAAGTCAAAACTAAAGCCTTGTATATTGGCTGTTCAGATGGCACTCAGACCAAGAGATCACCATGACTATGTTTGGTTCTGAATTCAAGGTAGAGTTGGTTGGTTGGTTGGTTTGTTGTTTAATGCCGCACTCAGCAGTATTCCAGCTATATGACGGCGGTTTGTAAATAACCGAGTCTTGCCCAGACAATCCAGTGATTAATATCATGAGCATCTATCCACGCAATTGGGATCGATGACATGCATCAACCAAGTCAGCGAGCCTAACCACCCAATCCCGTTAGTCGCCTCTTACGACAAGCATAGTCGCCTTTAGTGGCAGGTATGGGTTGCTGAAGACCTATTCTACCCAGAATCTTCACAGATTCAAGTAGTCAAACATACAGTAAAGATGAAACCAATTGGATTGGAATGATCTGGTACATAGACTTGGTTCATTGTCATGATGGAGTGAGATATGTTGCTCAAAACATACATCACTGGTTTGTCTGGCCTAGACTTGATTATTTACAGGTCACCTGTCATATTGCACAGTGGTGCATTAAACCACAACACATTAACCATGTTAACAAAATAAATTGTTTAATAGCCTCTCCAAAAAACTGTTTTCTTGGCATAACCATTTATGTAAACACACACTGTACACCAAACAGATAAAACCATAAAATATTTTCCTGTGGGGGCTTTCACTGATTCAGGGATCGTACATACATAAATGGGCCATGTAAGTAGTCAGAAACATTCTGCGATCTGTGGCTTGTTATTTGTTTTACGTTTTCCATTGTAACCAAGAGAAATGGTCAGGAATGCCAAAAGAAATGTTGTCGTGCGTGATTTTGCATCAATCATGCCGTCACAAAGGATGGATACTTTGACAATTGTTGAGTTTACCAAATCATTGTAATGTATCTATTTTCTAATTCCCTATTTCTTGCCACGATACACTACCCATGCATATTCTAAAAACATAGAGCCACTGTATTTCTCAAAATAGGAGAAAATGATACACAGTGTAATATCTGAATTTTGCTTTTTCATTTCAAACAAGTGCAGTTTTCCAAGCACAGCCTTCATTTTCACACCTAATTTATGTTGCTTAAGTATATCTAGACAGTTTGCATTGGTGACAAAGACCGTTTATCATTTGATTCTGAAATGTAAGAGCAATTCAAGGATGTATGTATTGCATCCTAACTGGCATACATTAACGTGACTTTGTAAACACTGTCCAATATGGCGGAAAGTTACTTATGCGTTTGTGTTTGCGTATTTTCCAAAACATTCTAAACTATTGTAGGGTTGTCGGTGACATTTCAAAATGATGATAGGTAATTTGATAAAAGAATATATAAACTGAGATCACCGATGTGCTATTTTTGAAATTCAATGCTCAGAGTAAATATCTAATATTTTTATTTCAAAACATACACCATATAACGCAGTGAATGGTGATTTAGTAATGTGTCAAAAATGGTGATATTTACGATATTCCTAATTTTCAGAGGTCATTTTCAGTAATTTTCCTTTACCTAAAATGAGATTGGATGATATCACAGAACAGGGAATTTCCCACAGAATTGAAAACCTTGAAGAATATTTGTGTGTGTCATGTATTTTGAATTGTAGTGAGAGTAGAAGAGGAGGGACATATTAGTCCCTGTGGCATCCAGGGGTAATGCAAATATGTAAATAACTGTTCAATGAAACCTTGAGTGAAAAAGAATCATTAATTTATTGTCAATGTGAATATGTAAATAACTGTTTAATGGGGTAATGCGAATATGTAAATAACTGTTTAATGGGGTAATGCGAATATGTAAATAACTGTTCAATGAAACCTTGAGTGAAAAAGAATCATTAATTTATTGTCAATGTGAATATGTAAATAACTGTTTAATGGGGTAATGTGAATATGTAAATAACTGTTTAATGGGGTAATGCAAATATGTAAATAACTGTTCAATGAAACCTTGAGTGAAAAAGAATCATTAATTTATTGTCAATGTGAATATGTAAATAACTGTTTAATGGGGTAATGCAAATATGTAAATAACTGTTTAATGGGGTAATGCGAATATGTAAATAACTGTTTAATGGGGTAGTGCGAATATGTAAATAACTCTTAATGAAACCTTGAGTGAAAAAGAATCATTAATTTATTGTCAATGCGAATATGTAAATAACTGTTTAATGGGGTAATGCGAATAAGTAAATAACTGTTTAATGAAACCTTGAGTGAAAAACATTAATTTATTGTCAATGCAAATATGTAAATAACTGTTTAATGGGGTAATGCGAATATGTAAATAACTGTTTAAGGAAACCTTGAGTGAAAAAGAAACATTAATTTATTGTCAATGCGAATATTTAAATAACTGTTTAATGGGGTAATGCGAATATGTAAATAACTGTTTAAGGAAACCTTGAGTGAAAAAGAAACATTAATTTATTGTCCAACTTTGCCGATCCTCACGATCGTGGTAAGCAGGGGAGAGAATACAGAATTGTTTCACTTAGGGATTCCTCATGAAAAGCAATTCTGGTCAAAAATTGTGTAAACATCAAAAGATGAAGTTAAAACGTCACTTTTTGAAGTTTGTTGAAATATGAACGGGACATATGATCAGCAAATAAACCAATCAAATCATCGAAAATCCCTTATATATTTACATTTAGAGTGCTTGTTCCAACTGTGGGAGGGATACGGGCGGAAGTCTTACCTGGAATAATCAAATATATCAACACGAGTTGATAAAAGTGGAAAAATTCCGAGGCTTGCCGAGGATTTTTACCACTTTTATCCACGAGTGTTGATATATTTGAAATCAAAAGACACGAGGGTGAGATTGTATTTTTCATCCAACATCATTCTTCATGTTCTTCCAACTTTTTCAGTTTGTAGAAAGTAATAAGCAGTGTCTAAGTGTAAAAAGTACTGCTAACAGCTTCAGTAGCAGAGCCATTAGTGATGTCATTTGATTGTGAAGTCATGGTAACCAGTGACATCACAATGGTCTGCAAAGCATTGTGATGCAATTTCATTGCAGCGATATCTACAGTGTAGATATCGCTTGATCTCATCCAAGCAATATCTCCTGTGGGAGCCAGGTTTGGATGATAAAATATGTTCTCATCAACTGATCATTACAGGGTTAAATATGTGCTGTGAAATATATTGACTGAAGTTGTGTGGGAAAGAGAATTAAAAACTATAGCCCCAGAGTAGGTCTGTTCAAAATGTCCTCAGACTCAGCAAGGCAAAGTTTGGTTCCAAATTGAATTAAGTGTGGTTAAATATACAGATAACCTTGCTCTAACATTGAAAACACACCATGGCAAAACATAAAGGGCTAGATCTACATCGTTTCTCGGCATTTCTAAAAGCAGATAATACCTAAACATATTATTTTAGTCTTATTACTCTGGGGACTGACATACAACTTAAAATTATATATGTATAACTTCAAAACCGTATAAACATTATTGGAAGTTTCGACAGATCAAAATTCCGTTTTTTCTTGATGGCGATTTGACGCATTGCCGATTTAGAAGAAATCCTGAGGCTTTGTGATAACTGGTCGCCAGCCAGGAGAGAAAAATAGAATATTGGGTCAGTGCACTGAAACGGATAAATGGATACGATCACCAACAAACGAGACACACCACCATGAGCAGAATTACTCAAAGGATCTACCTTCGAAGTACTTCAGGATGGAATCTGTTGCAGTAACTCAGAGCCGAGCATCGCCTTTGTGCACGACCTCCCTGCTTTGCGTGCTACATATGTACCTGTATTCTTGTGGACGCGGTACAGCGATGTGCGGAGCGTATTGCTTATGGCTGAGAACATAGAAATTGGCATTTGTAGCAAACGGCTTGTGCGCACATTGTTAAAACGGACATGATTTTCACGGAGTAAGATGAATCATTTCAGGACATATATAAAGGCTGATACCTTTTAAATGTGACATTTACGATAGGCCGGCAACATAACAGCGAAATTGACGTTCACAGCGGATAAACGGGTGGAGGGGAAAATGGCCCCAAATTGTAGTGAAAATGGCCCCGAATTGTAGTGAAAATGGCCCCAAATTGACCTGAATATTGGAGAAATAAAGATAACACAGATCTGTAGTGACTTAGTTTATTTATTGTTTTGATATTTAGTTTACGTATTGATAAGATATTCTGGAATGTCATGGATGGCACTGCATTCTGTCAGTAGTCGTGAAAGTGTCATCTGCCAATCTGCCCAGTCATTGGATATAGGCCCTACAGCCTGTTGGTTTATCAGGGCCGACTTTGTACACTTGTAGCAACGAACAGCCAGCTTTAGCATCATAGCGTTGTTTCTAACCATTTAGACTCTTAAATCTTGAATTGAGCATTTAACATAGACAAGGAAGTCCGAGTGTTTGACTGCATATGCTAGTTACCGAATATCCTCGCTACTATCCAGCCTAGTAAACAGACCGATGATATCGACTCGAGCATCTTGTCGTAAGAGGCGACTAACCGGATCGGGTGGTCAGGCTCACTGGTTTGGTTGATGCATGTCATCGATCCCAATTGTGTGGATCGATGCTCATGATGTCAATCACTGGATTGTCTGGTCCAGATTCCGACTCGAGCATCTTGTCGCAAGAGGCGACTAACGGGATCGGGTGGTCAGGCTCACTGGCTTGGCTGATGCGTGTCATCGATCCCAATTGTGTGGATCGATGCTCACGATGTCAATCACTGGATTGTCTGGTCCAGATTCAATTATTTACAGACCGCCGTCATATAGCTGGAATATTGCTGAGTGCGGCGTTAAACAACAAACCAACCAACCAACGACTCGAGCACCTGGTGTAATCACTAATTCTATGAGATCTATTCATATAATTTTCAGGATTTTTACGGCTTTTACGCCAAAAGAAATATGTTTCGGCAAAAATCAAGAGGGAGTATTCCCTGGCGTTGAAGTAAACAATTTACACTTTAATGGCCATGACAGTTTCTTACCTCGAGCCACGCAAGACATTGTCTTATTCCAAAGAAACTCATTTTTGGTAAATCAACAGGTCTACGGATGTACAATGGCAAAATAGGAAACGACTCTGGATTTTGAAAAATAACAAGCAAATAACACAAATAAAATGTTATTCATAATTGGAATTGTGAAAAGGATAGCCTACATAAATTGGGCGACGTCCAAGACAGGGGATATGGAATGGACTGAGGCACGAGAACATGCATACCAAGTTTCCCAACTTTAACAGAAAAGATAACCGCCGGTTATGTGTGTACTAACGGAAAAAGTAACTGTGCTTCCTATAAAGTGGCGTATATGGTTATGTAATTGAAAATAACAACATACTATTCGGTCATTCGTCACATTCATTGACAATACCCATACCTAGTTAAAGGAGACAGAACCAAATGCCCCCCAAAAGGGTTGGAGTAAATAATCGATTAACAATGTAGTACTAGTATATATAGTGTGTGACCACCATTTGCGTTAATACAGGCAAGGCAGCGGCAGCGCACGGAAGACACCAGATGATTGAAAACGGTCAGAGGATGTTGTTCCAAATGTCAACTAATTTGGTTCTGGTCGTGCCATGGGCGTCGTTCTATCTCATCCCAGTCATGGAGGAGAGTGAGTGAGTGAGTGAGTTGGGTTTAACGCCGCTTTTAACAGTATTCCAGTTATATCGCGGCGTGTCAGCTTAATGTGGGAGGAAAGCCCGAAGTGATGCAGGTCTCTGACGTTTACCACTTCGGTGAAACCAACGAGCACGGGTATGGTGCTGACAAACCTAGAAACATAATTAGGGCGAACCGGGATTCGAACCCACAATCATAGGTTTCTGGCGTGCCCAAGGAACGCAACTCTGCGTGCACAGCGAATCGCGGCGCCTTAGACGACTGGGCCACCCGTGCCCCCCTCATGGAGGAGAGGCAAGGAGAACCAGTCAGTACAGCAATGTTATACGGCCTCAGAAAGTGTGGGCGGGCATTATCCTGCCGCAACTTTTCGTTACATCCCTGTATTTGCACAAAGAGTAGACCCGTGAAAGTCCGGGTTAGAACTGGTCTTCAGCAATCCATGCTTGTCGTATGAGGCGACTAACCGGATCAGATGATCAAACTCGCTGACTTGGTTGATGCATGTCATCGATCGATGCTCAAGATATCAAACACTGGATTGTCTGGGCCAGACTCAGTTACCTGCAGACCGTTACATGGCTGGAATATTGCTGAGTGTAGAGTAGAACACGATCTCAAATGATGTCGTCCCGGGAGTGTACGTCATTGAAATTCCCATTAACAATGATGAGTTGTGCTCTGTACCATTACACTTCCATATCAAACTGATGAAGCTGAGTAACGCAAGCGTCGCTAACACGTCCTCCTTGGCGTATGTAAACCCTTTCTTATCTTCTGAGGGGGCACGGGTGGCGCAGTCGTCTAAGGCGCCGCGATTCGCTGTGCAGAGTTGCGTCCCTTGGGCACGCCAGAAACCTATGATTGTTGGTTCGAATCCCACTTCGCCCCGATTATGTTTTTAGGTTTGTCAGCTCCATACCCGTGTTCGTGGGTTTCACCGAAGTGGTAAACGTCTGAGGCCTGCATCACTTGGGGCTTTCCTCCTACATTAAGCTGACACGCCGTGATATAACTGGAATACCGTTAAAAGCGGTGTTAAACCCAACTCACTCACTTGTCTTCTGAATCTCAGATGCTGTCTACACCAAGCTGACGGTGACGTGGCGGCAAAACAGGGCGTATCACTGGATGTGGGTGTGTGTAACTAAAATGTTAAGGGTCTTTCGTAGTAATCAGATTTACTTTCATGGTCAGCTTCCTGTATGAGTGAAATACTATTAGTCACACAGCAATGTTGTGATTCCTCAAAAAGGCTGTTGTCCGTCTTGCCGTGTAAGGCCGGGCGTTGTCTTGTTGGAAAATGACGTTCGCTTGTTGCATAATGGGAAGGACGTGTGGCCGAAGAATCTTATCCGTGTAACGTTGTGCCGTTTAATTTCCCAGAACTTGCACCAAGTCTGTTGTACCAGTGAATGAGATGGCTGCCAACATCATCACACTACCACCACCAAATCTGTTCACTTCCTGTATGCAATTTCTTGCATTGCGTTCCCCGCGGTTCTATAAACACGGCGTCTACAACCCGCAGGGCGAAGCATAAAACGTGACTTGTCACTAAACCAAACTTGTCTTCATCGCATGTGTAGCCCTACTCTGTGACCTTGACACTACTGACGTCGCAGCCGACGATGCAGGTCCGTCAAAATGACACCTCGAACTGGTCGTCGAGCAAGAACACCTTTAATCGCGTAAACGGTTCCACACTGAATGGGCTGAAATCCCACGTAATTTTGGAATTGCCGTAGTTGTAGAAGTGGCGGTGGTGGTTCTTTCACGTAAGAGATGTAGCCGTATGAATCTGTCCTGTGCTCCAATAGTGATACGTGGTTGACCAGATCTGGAGGGTCATGTGTTGTCCAGTGTGTCCGATAACGAATCCACAGTCTTATACACTGGCGCTTGGTGCTACGTGGAGAAATCTGGCTACAGCTGAAGATGATTCTCCTGTTTGCAGTTGGCCGATGGCGTTGTTGCGTTGTGGCATGATTTCGCTGTTCACTTGCTGTAAGATTGTGATGGCATGCAAACAAAAAGATATAACGTTTTTTATAGCCCAACAAGTTATGTTGCACATGTTATGTTGGTGTGTTTCGGCGCCAGGCTCTCACGTGGTTGTGTTTTTGCAATTTTCCCATCTTTTCAATTGTCTGCAGAACCTCATAAATCAATAAATCCACACAAATCAATCCTAATTAATGTAGAAATGACCAATTCATTTTGGTATTCATTTTTGTTTGGGTGTCGGCAATACAGATATTTACGATTTTACTACTTTTGCGTTTCTTTTTTTGCAGAGTATGTATAAACATGTTAAAAGGTGATTAAGTTCGAACTTTACCCATGTTCAGGGTGATAAAACATTGTACGTTCTTATAGGAACCCATGAGCCAGACCACGAAGCATCTTCCCGAGACAAGCGAGTTAACTGACTATAAAAGTCCAGTTTCCACCCTTGCCGAACTAGGCTGGTATTATGAAGTTACATTTTGGCTAGACTAACGAGTCTATGCATAGTCCAATCAAAATCTCGCAACGAAATCGAAATCTGGTTCGTAAACTGTCGTGCAGATTACGGTCGATTGCAGGATTTGCAAAGCATGTGCACCACCAACTCGTTGTCAATAGATATGTTCCAAACCTTTTCATGTTTTTAATTATGGTGCTCGCGTGATTTGATGCTTTTCGCGATGTAAGACCCGTTTTATCACAATATAGATCTTGATTAACGATCAGATCGTCTTGACTTGGCGCCGCCATTTTGTTCGAAACAAGTGCAAGTGATGGAATCGGATTGGTCCATAGAAGAGGCTCAGAAGGGACATAACTCATAATAACCACTGGTGGCGCTACGATCGAGCCCAGGAATTCCAGCCTAATTCGGCAAGGGTGAAAACTGGACTTTTAAAGTCAGTTAACACTCTTGCCTCGGGAAGATGGCCACGATGTAGCTACAATCGAAACGTACAATTGATGCGGACCAATCTTAAGTAGCTCTTCAGAGTGAATTGCATGTTCAATTACATCAGTTCTTTAAAATTCAACATCAACTTAGAATACATCTAAATTCCGCCTAATGATGTTGTACAGACGACGCTGTTTATCTGCCGATATGTTGGAATTGTTAGACAGCTGTCTCGAGTGTGAAGCCCATTTCTGGGCCGTGATATTGCTGG